TTTCCCCTCCGAGCCCTTTGTTGCCCCTCTTTCTCGCGCCGCCCAGGAATTGTGTTCTGTTGCTTCTGTGCCGTGTGTTGTCAGAAGGTGGGTGGCAGCCTCACCTGCAGCAGGGCTTGCACCCGGGGTAGCGCCTGTGGCAAGGTTGCACACTTGAAAAAAAGGAGTGCTGAGGGAGCCCCAGACCCAGATCCCGCACGAGCAGAATCTGGGGGCAAAGCTGGTGGTTACTGGCAACCCCATCTGATGAGAGGTGAGGTGCTTATGACATCCAGTGTTCCTTCATTCAGCAAGGAGTTTTTCGGGTCCTGATGTCCACTCCCCCCAGGCTCAGGGTGCTGTGGTGGGTTAGACTGACGAGAGCTCTGCGGAAGGGCCAGCAGGTGTGGTGTGGGGGCTGCTCCAGTTGCCGTTTTGGGGACTGACTTGGGGGAGGAGGCGTGAGAGCAGCCCTGAAGGAGGAGCCGCTGTCATGGGTGGCAGCTGCTTCCCAGCAGCCAGGGGAAAGAGCCCGCGGAAGGTGACGGAAAGCGAGCCCCAGGCGCTGGGGTCCTGCCTCTCGTCTCAGTGCAGGGGCCCAGCGTGTCTGAGGGAGGCGGAGCGCCCATGGAAGGGACCTTGCAAACACAGGTGGCTTTGGTGAGGTAGTGGAGGCCGAGCGGCCCCGGGCCTCTGCCTGTGGCGCCGGCCGGCTCGGGCTGGGGCAGGGAAGTGGCAGGAGGGCATGTGTAAGTGTGGCCACCTCCCGCCCCTTATGTTCGGGCGGAGATTTCATTTCCGAGAAGGACCACAGGTGCCATGAGCAGTGTTAAAGAGGCCCTGTAAGGCCAAAAAGGCAGACGCACGGCAGACGAAAAGCAAGAAAACAAAATAAAGAAAAAGCCGCTTGTGCAACGGCGCCTGGCCACTTCCTGGACAAGGTGGGGGTGTCCCGGACACCGCGCGCCTCGCGGCCTTCAGCGGCTCCTGCTGTCAGCTTCCTCTCCTCTCACCACAAGGATGGCCCGCTGGGCTGTGCTTTCCGGGGCCAGCAGGGCGGAGTTTGCTTGTGCGCAGACGTGTGTGTGGCCCGGCCTGGGTCCTCTGCGTGGACCGGGAGGGGGCTGCTGGCCGCGGGCCAACTGTCCGCCTTTGAGGAATCGCCTGGCGAGCTGGGCACTTTCTCTGGTCAGCAGGCGGCTGGACCGCAGGCCTGCAGTGCAGCCTGGTGAGCGTGATGGCGCCTCCAGGTCTGGTTTTCGGAGGCCAGCAGCTTCTCCCGTGCGGACGGTGGCCTGGGTGAGCTGTCTGTTCAGTCCTGGTGCCCCCAGAGATGCTGGGACGTGACTCGCTTCACAGAGCTACGGGGAGCAGGCGCCGGTCTGGTTTGCGGGGTTTCTCTGCACTTTCTGTCCGGGCCCAGGAGTAGCTCTGGCCGCCTAGTTTGTGCTCCGGAGCGGGGCGGCGTGGGCAGGCCATGGAGGGCCTTGTCGCAACACAGCCTGGGTTGTGCCTGGAGGGGGGCTGGGACCGGGGGGGACGCTAGGATTTCAGCTAGAACAATTTTGACGCAAAATTTGACAGCGTGGTCACTGCGCAGACACTTCTGACCGCTGGGGCGGGCAGCATTGCCTTGGCCCCTTCGGACAGCCTCAGCGCCCCAGCTGACCTGCAGCGGCTTAGCGCATGGCCTGGGGTGGCTGGCCTGAGCCCTGGGCCTCCTGCAGGCTCTGCAGCGGCCACAGAAGCGCCCGTGGTGCGGATGGGTTTCGACGTCTGGAACCGCGATTCCACAGACCTGATTCGGGGGGCTAAAGGCGGAACAGCGCTCGCCCGCGGGGCTGCCCCAGGGGCGGCGCCAGAGCAGGTCCAACTTGGCCCGCGTGTGTGCGTGTGTGCGTGTGTGCTCTGCGCAGCCCTCCTGCGGGCCGCTGGCACCTGTGTTCTGGGTGTAGGGAGCTGCCGGCGCCTGCGGGTCAGCCGAGGTGGCCCTGCTCGAGCCCCCCGCGGGGCAGCCCCAGGCAGCGGGACAGCTGGCGCCGGGCTGCAGGAGGCCAGGGCGGGGCTGGCTCCAGCACCCCAAAGGTCCCAGAACCTGGGGGCCACGCTGCCCTCCGGGCCTGCGGACGCAGCTGCTGGGCTCCCTGGGGGGTGCTCCGGGGGCAGCCTGGGGGGGCAGACTCAGTCCCTGCACCGAGGGGAGGAGCCGGCCTGCCAGCGCAGCAACCCCTGCCCCAGGCCGCTGCCCCTCGCGTGGGCCTGCTTCCGGGCGGGTCCAACGCACTGCGCAGCGGCGGCTTCTCACAGGCGCCGGCCTTGTCCGCGGACAGTGCCGTCCAGGCTGGTGCGGCGCGGACCCGGCATTGGCGAGTGGCGCCGCCCTGGCCTGACTCCCTGGATGGCCCGGGCGGGCCGTGACGCCGCTGCTTTGACCCCCAGGCTCCCTGATGCCGAGTCACCACGGCTCCTGCTGCCGGGACACGCCCCAGAGACCCGGCCATGGCCTCGGCGCCGGCGCCCGTCCCTTTCAGGGAGTTCTGCCCGCTGTACTCTCTCCTCGGCGCCATCCCCACCAAGATCCAGAGGGGCTTCCGCTCCATCGCCGTCTACCTCACGGCCCTGGACGCCAGCGGGGACTACATCGCCGTGGGCAGCAGCATCGGCATGCTCTACCTGTACTGCCGGCACCTCGGCCGCATGCGGAAGTACAGCTTCGAGGTGAGGCCTGGCCGCGCGGGGCGGTGACACTCCTGTCCCCAGGCCCAGCGCTCCGCTGAAGGGTGCATCCGTGTCCAGCGGAGCAGAGGCCCTCTGAGCCAGGCCGTGTCTAGCTGCTCCGGTCCTCAGAGAGCCTCGACTCGCTGGCTTCAGAGGCTCCCTTTTTGGGTTGGAACTTTATGGAAAAGGAATTGATGTCACCCTGACCTGTGCCTCTCACACAGCGTCGCTGGGCGCCCAGCGGTGCGCTGCCATCACGCCCACCTACGTCGTGGGCTCTGTGGCTCGCAGCTCACAGGGCTGGGTGACTGCTGGTGTCCTGCAGGCCTAGATGAGGCGCGAAGAGACCTTATCAACGCTGCGCGTGGGCCTCCACGGTGGCGCAGCGGGCTAGGGCGCAGCAGTGAAGCTGGCTGCAGCCGCTCAGTGCGAGTGCGATTCCTGGCCAGGGAGGGACCGGGGCGCGGCAGACCTCGCCTGGCCCGCCCGCTGCTCCCCTCAGCAGTGTGTTTCAGTAGATCAGCCTGTTCTCCCCGCTCAGTCTCTGGTGAATCCTCTCACCGCCCCTG